CTGATTACGCTCAGAACAGAAAGTTAAATATAAAATATCGCGGTGGTTTCAGCGCCCTCTGTCCTACGTATGTTCTTGATACGAGCTGAAACTCAACAGACGGACGCTACGACTACTGAAGTTTGTTACTTCCGGCCGTGGTTTCGATTCGCGCCTGATTCAGTAGTAGATGTGCGTCTTTTATCGTCACCAAAATCTTTACCGCCAAAAGCATCGAAATATCGTATTTTACAGAAAAAAATTTATTCTGGAGGCCCCGTGATTGAAGCTTGTCGTGGGTTTCTCCAGTTGCATCCGATTTGTATGATATTCTTCAACCAACTACAAAGTCAGTATTACAGGTTATAATAACAATACTAATTTGTGTGCAGCTTCGTATGAACGAAATGTTATTAAAGACTTAATTTAATGCTCTGTACTAAACAGCTCAAATACATCCGTTGTTCAAAATTCTGAGACGAAAGACAATTTTTTTTTAAAAAAATATGCAATTTTTACTGGGGGACCAAAACTTGTAAGTGAATATGAAAGTAGCAATATGGCGACTGTGCAAAACAGTTTGATACGAGGATTATAGCTTCACCTCTAAATTTTGTTTTGATGGAGTAGCAGTAGCCAGTGCTGGCTAAGTCACATCCTCTGGGTAAGTTAAGCCTCACACCTTTTCCAATCCAGGCAACTTCCACACCATTTGCGAGGACGGTATAAATCTATGATTTTATTTTGGGCTATTCGATCTGTTCAGAAGGAACGTGGGATTTGAGAACAGAAGACAACTTATAAATAATACCAATATCGAAGCGCTGTGCATTCAAGTGACGACACAAAGTCGCCATTGGAAACACAGAAACAACAAAGAACTTGTTTCTCTCTGCCTTGTTTATTAAAACGTTTATTTGTAATTCTCAGAAGAATTGGCAATAATAATTCAAACAAGCTAACAGTATAAAATAAATAGCCAGGAAAATGTTCCTTTGTTGTTTTACACGAGTAAAATTACGATGTTCCGAAGTTCTGTTTTCAAAACCTTCACTCTTTTTTTCGAATTCAGGTGGTATTCGATTCGAATCCTGAACGGTTGTTCACTATTATCGACCCTCCATTCGACTATCGATAGTTGAGAAGAAAACAGTAGAAGATCTGCAATTCCTCATGACGTCATATTAGCCTTTATCTCTGTTACGTCAACAAACCTCATTTCTCAAAACATATATATATATATATATATATTGTAAATTTTTTTTAAAGGAATTACGGCCATGTTAAGAATTTGTATTTCTTTAAAACCACAGCACGTTCTCATTTTTCATAATTTAAAACATCTTGCATTTATTTATGGTTTATTTAACGATGATGCCAGTAACTTAAAAGTAAGGAAGCGGTTTACGGTTCTATCCTGGCATTTTCCCGGAGGGACTAAGGAAAAACAAGATAAACGTGTCGGTATAGCCGGGCTCCAGGTCCATATTTGAACCTCAGGCCTCCAGAATATGAAACAGGAATGCTAACCACTCAGCCGCAACGTTCGGTCACGTGTTCTAATGACATACGCCTCAGATCACTTACAGTACATTGAGACTATTACGCGATTTACAGGCGAGAAGGTCTCAATAGAACCAGATACATCCAACATACGTCACTCTGCTTTGTCCCTAAGGCAGCCATAATTATTTCCGGTCCTAGATTGTTTAACAACCCTTTAAAAAAAAGTAAAGCTGTCCCACTACACGCCATGTAAGCGCTTGGGGGGAGAGTTATATAGCTCCTACTCATTCTTAACATCAGCTCTAGACAGGGGTGTGGACAGGCGGGTGGATGGGCCCCAGGGCTGTAAATATCCTCTGCCCCTGTAGGGGATCGAACCCCGGTCGTCCAGTCAGTAGAGTCACTGTACTGACTAAACTACCCCGACTACTAACAGGACTTTATAACATGAAAAAATTCACAGAGCGTCTATAAGCACATGAAGTGGTATTTCATGTTTTTCGTCTGACCGGACCCCAGAGCTCAGTCGGTCAGTACAGGTGGGTGTTCCGGTCCACATGTACCGGAAACCTACCACATGTCAGGCAAACGCGTTACAAATTAGTTAACCTACTAGGTATTTCCAGTTAAGTTCTTTTCCTATTCTCCCAGGTCTTGAAGCCTGCTCGAATTCAGAATTACAAAATTGTGAATCTGTTTGGATATTTGGTACGACTCCTTGGACCGAGAGATCGTTCGGTCACATGACCCCGTCAGACATTTCCCGAATCTGGACTCAGCTACAGGCCAATCAATTTGGTACGTATTTGTGTTCGGGAGGAAGGCCTACCCGGTCCGATTCAAATTATCCCGGCAGGATGTTGCCCTTAAAACCTCCAGAAAAAATGGGGCACGCTTACAGGACCTAAAATAACACAAGGAACTCTAATGAAACAGCTGTAATGTAGCGTTACTGATACAGTAAAAATATAATATCGTTGAAAGTATCTGAAATTAATAATTATGACAACAAGTATGTTAGTTATGAGGAACATCACTATTCATGCAATATACACGCACACCGGATAGTGTGTATTGAAGGCAATAGACACTTACTTAACACTGTTTACATTCGGAACAATCAGCGTAGGATTTAAGTAAAATAGTTAAGTATGCAACGGCGCAGGCAGCCATATTTTAAATGGCCTAAGTGAAATATATTTCTAGTGTATTTGCATTTAATCGAAACCTAAATTACTGTTGTGTTGTAACAGCAAGAAATCGCACAGAAATTTAAACTGTTTAACCTTAGATTCAATTGTAAGTTTTAAGTACAGTTATTAGTTTCGCTTTGCATCTGCGTCGACAAAACACGTTTAAATTTAAATAACTTAAATATTTACATTTTTCTTCCTGTCAAAATTATATTTATTACTTTTACGAGGTCGCTCAAAATCGACACAGCTGAGGACCTGAGCGACGTTAATTCGACCCTGCGAGCATTGTTGCATTGTTACAAATGATTGTCCCATCGAAAATCCATCGCACTGTCGAATTTCCCCTTAATCCATTCGTGCAAGCTTTCAACGCCTTATCTCGGCTACTCACGTAGAACCGCTGATCCTTTCTTGACTTCCATAGCTGGACCAAACATTGGCTGGAGAAGAACACAGAAGAATTAAAGCTGTGATTATGATGACCAAGTGCATGGCGCTAACAAGACGGAATACTGTCATACTATTTCTTTATTATTCCGCCATTTCCACCCTCGTTCATCCTTCCGTCTGTATCGATTTCACACGCTACTACCGAGTGAAAGTCTCCCTACCTCTTTCTACACCCCCCCTCCCCCCGGTTACCCGCTCTCTGCGCAAGTCAGCCTAGCTGTAAGCTAATGGGGCATAGTGGGGCTTCGTATGTGTGCCCAGTGACAAAACTACACCATTTTCTGCGTTGGGTGTGCCCATAAAACCCCAATAAAGTGATTGGTTACGGGCTGGATAGCCGTAGTTCGATTACCGTTACAGATAGAGAATTTTCTCCTCATTACCAAGTCTTGATTTGCTATGTGGTTAATCCACTGGATACGTGTTTCTGGGGCATCTTCCCCGAGAAGAAAAGCGGCCGAATTTTGAAACTTTCCACCCACTACCATCTACGATGGCGGCAGTAAGCGCCCCTGAAACGTAGGTCACTTTCTACCAGACTACACGGACCAACATACCAGAAAACAGTCATCTCCATGTAAGATGGATTTAGAGCGTTAGGACGTCTGCTTTTTCTCACGTTTGATTTATACGCTTTTCTTTCAACTCGGTCTGAGTTCCAAAGGAACTTGATGGCTGTAATTTTATATCTATCGCAACAACTCCGGCATGAGCTCCCACTAACCACAGTAGCAAGCAACATTCTAGCGCTCTGATCAGGACTGTGTAAAACTCGGTACTCGGGCCGAACGAGGCCTTCGATGATTCTGTGCATCGACCGCAAATCTGAACATGATTTTTACAAAGATGGCTGTCTTCTGGGTTGTAGCACCGTGTAGTCTGGTCGATGTTTACCAACATTTCATCAGGGTTACCCTGATGATGGAGACTGCAACGACCTCTGAAACGTTGGTAAACTTCTTCCAGACCACATTGCGGTACCACCAAGAAGACAGCCGTCTTTTACTTATCGCCATGAGAACCTGAAATCTCACTCAATATGAAAATAGATCATAATAAAATTTGAGCAACAGTTGAAAGGAAAATTAAAAGATGTACTGCAATTGAATACCCACCATTCTTTCAATTTTCTGAAGACACCCTTAATAAATCCATTTACTATTTTCACACAATCTTAAAATCATGATGTATCACTGAAAAGACTGTTGAATTACTAATTCTGAAATCAGACAACTTTCAGTCTGAAAGCTTGAATGACTGACAATGATTATGATGTTGATGATGCTAATCAAGATGACTGGTCCATTCTTGGTACACTTAACAATGCTAGTTTCACCTGTATAGGTTATATGGCTTCAAACAATTTGATGACTGTGAATGAAGAATTGGAAAGGATATGGAAGGAAGCGGTCATGGCTTATTTCAGGTTTTATCACAGCATTTGCCTGCAGGAACTGAAGATAACAATGAGAAATCTAAGTCAGGATAACGGGCACCAGGCAAATAAATAAACACAGGCCACCCCCAATAGAAAGCAGCAGTAGTAAAGGTTGCATCTGGACTGCTCGTGACTACTCCGTCTTACGCGCCTCTGTAAATGCGGACACTTTCACAAGTCTGATCGTGAGCGGTGCATTCGACCAGAGCCATGGACTCAAGGAATTCACTACAATGTTGACAGCGCTCAAACACAAACAGTCCTGAGATACCTTAACTACGACAACGCCGAGATAATCAAGACAGAGATAATGAAAAGAAAAAAAAACAACTTCACTTTATAAATATTGAGCATATTTTTATTAAGTGACTTAAACACTTTCATGTTACAAACAAAATTAAGTGCAATTTTAAATACCACAAATAAAAATTACATAAAGGATCGTAATAATAATAAATTAACAGAAGTCACAAATGCTTTTAATTCTGTGTAAAATTCCCTTTCTCATCTCATACTTCTTCAAAAATTCTTGACCAATTTATTTCAAACAGTCCTAGGAACTTGGAAAGGTACGTCGAGCTTCATTTAATGGTACTGGATACATCCGAGATACACCACACACCACGACACAACAAACAGCAATGCCCTCGCCCTTAAACTGTGACAGCCTCCACACAACTTCACGTCATGCTCCTGTAACATCAAGAAACAGCCGAGGGAACGGCTTGCAGGATACATTCCAGATACACCACACATGGTACCATGACAACGTCATACTTAATGCAAATAAACCCGACAAAATAAAGACAGCTGTATTCTGGGTAGTCTGGTAGACGATTACCAGCGTTTCAGAGGTCCTTGCTGCCCCTATCATCAGGGGGATGATAAAGACAGAAAGGACCTCTATAACGTTGGTAAACAACTATCAGACAACCCAGAAGACAGCCATGAGAACCTTAAATCCTACTAAGCAAAATAAATACATTTCACAGCTCACCAATGGGTGTTCTGAAAAACAACCTGAGATCCTTCGGCGAGGCAGGTCATTCAGAAACACTTTCTGACATGGATGATCTGTACCATTGTACAGAATTTCTTCAGATGATGAGCTCACCATCTTATAACATGTCTCAAATGTGGACTTTATCACAACAAACACCAGATTAGTGTGAGGAATATATTGTACTATGTGTGGCCTGCAACATACAAAAAAATACAGCCAATTTAATGTGTCGATCGATGGACTCATAAGTTATTTAAGAAGTCGGCATCAAGCCAATTACAAAATTGGTGACTAGCTGTCAACTGATACTGCAATACATTTCTTCTTAACACATACGATTGAAACATTACCAGCTGTAACACATAAGGGCAAATTTAAAAATTACCACACATTAATAACATTTTAATTTATATCATAAACATTTTTAGTCATTTCGAACGCGTGACTTTCGATTCTGGAATACTGTGACACTGACATGATATGATGCCCTTCACAGAATGGACCAAGCTGAAAAGGACTACATTTTGACTGTTCACGACGTGTAATCAATATACATGCAGCTATATAGAATTTATATTATGTAAAATTAGGTGTAATTTAAGTGTAAATATAAATTAAATGACAACTATCTTAACTGGACTTCCATGCCATGGTTACAATTCGTCTACTTAACAAGTCACTCAATATTGTTATGGCAGTGAAACCAAGGAAATTATAATGGGCCAGACATGTAGGTCAGTTGGGAAAGACAAGACGCATACAGAATTTTGGTTTGGAAACTGTTTATGAAGTAGCCACTTGAAAGATTCACAAGCTGGGAGGATAACATTAAGATACATCACATGGAAATAGATTGTAAGGATGGGAGGAGGGCAGAACTGGCTCAGAATCAAGTCCAGTGGTACTTAACTTTCAGGTTCCACTGCGAAAGGGTCAGTTCGTTTCCTCAGCCTCAAAAACCTAACTTCAAACTTTGACAGAGAAACATGTACCTTGAGCATTGATCATATGTGTATTCATACTTCTTGAGATTCTCATACTGCAAGACGTAGAGGTTTCTCTTGTTGTCACAGAGCCGAGGGACCTCGAATATCTCTTCAGTCTTCCTTTGACCTAACAAAATTGAATGTGACATTGTCACTAGTGTGAAAACCTCTAAATCCTACAATTAAAGAATTTAAACCTTTGCCACATCTAACAAGAATACTTCAGTAAAATTAAATCCCCTGTTGCATTCAATATGTTCTAATTAATTGGTCTTAAAACATCGGAATGCATGAATCAAACTAAATGACACAGTGTTAAGAAGCCACATTTTTTTATAATTTCTTTAAAAAAAATTGTTGAAAAACACACATCACCATGACAGGAGACAGAACGTGATTGCGTCTCAGCCCTGAATTTTTCATCGCATTGTTATGCTTCTCAGCTGACACGAGAAGTTACAGAAATTCGTTCAGAAACATTTACAAAACAACAACCTACAAACCAATACACAAACTTTGTACAGTACAAAGAATGTTGGTGGATTGCAAACCACTGTAATCTCTATCTGTGACATACAGCAGGAAACATTCTAGGGGAAACAACTGGGACTTCTGACAGACCATTTTCTAAACAACAGAAAAATCACAAAATGTGTATCTTGTGTTCTACAGGAAATAATTTTCTAAAACAATGGGAATACAAACAATAGGAATTTGGAAACACAACATAAAATAAACAGATTTACATTTATAAAAGAGTTAGTAAAGGACAAGAACAAAAACCAACGCAAATCAAACTCAGATCTAGTTAAAGGAGAACTTGAAACAAACATGGAAAACAGACATTAATTCAATTAACGCAGAACACAAATTAAAATAAAATAATATTTGCTCTGGGGCAAAAATCTCACTGTGCTTTGGGGCAAAAATCATAAGTATGATGTATTCTGGCGACAAATGACACATTAAGAACTCTACATACTTCTGCACCATTACCAATAGATTTACTTAAAAGACATTAGCCATTTGAAGGCCAGTTTCGTATGAGACATCAGAGTCACACGGTAATCTTGAATAAATTAAAAAAAACTTTCGGAATATGACAAAGATTAAAACTGATAGAGAAACAACAGAAATTATTAACTTACTTCCTTTAAACACAGAACAGCACATGACTCAATATTACACTGCAAAGCAGAAATCAAATTATGGATTTCATCACATATTTATGTAACTAAACACTATCTATTAAAATTATTTACAGCTTTACAGTGCAACATGTAGCCAAAAAATAGCAGTAAATAATGTTTTTGTATTCTGCTGCATGTTACACATAAGACGTATACAACCTTTATCAAATTTTACTGACCAATATTTGCATCCTAACCTAAAAGTGTACATTACACCAGTCACACGTTGTTGTTGCTGTTAAAGGTTTAATACAATGAAAATTCAAAGCTAAAATAAACGATTCTTTTAAACTTAAATGTTGTTCATTTAGAGCCAATTGTTACACCAGAATACATTTATAATTATGATTAGTTTCCAACTGCATTTAATTTTTCACCGGCATCTTCATCTTCATCAATCACCTCATCCGTCTCATTGATGTCAATCTCATACGACTCAAAACTTTCTGCAAGAAACAACAACAACAACAAAACAAATTTGCAATAGCTTGTAGCTCCAAAATGTTCTTCAGAACTCTCATCTGCATTAAACAAAAAAAACGTACAAAAGTAGCACTTATTTACTGTTCTTTAATGTTCATCTAAAACCAGTTCTAGACCCAAATGAATGTTATTCAACCCAGAACATCACTGAAATCATAAAGATGATTTCTGTTGCAATTTACCTTCAAATATGGGCCTTGCTGAAGACTGGATACCATACCAGATGTGGCTCAAATTACTCTCAAATAACAGCCACAACAGCTGCCCATACATCCAGTGCACCAGAAGCTTCAACTGATTGAAAGGCTGCAACACGTACACAGTATCTCACAAACTCTGTTTTCAAGCAAGAAGACTGCAAGGGAAGAAGGCTGCCTTCTGGGTTGTTGCGCCGTATAGTGGTGGCAGCAAGGACGTCTGAAACGTCGGTAAACTTCTACCAGACTTCACGACGCAACAACCCAGAAGACAGCAATCTTCAGAGACACCGCTGTGAAAACCTCAACTCCTACAAGACTGCAAGTAACTCAAGATCATTATTTTCCTTTGAAATGCTTCCATATAACTAAAGACAGCCTTGCCCCCCCTCCCGCAAATCAAACACAGCAAAATACAATTAACTCTCATTACAAATTTAAATAACTAGAGAAATATGGAGCTGAGAACACCACAAATTCATATTTTAAATGAAACAGGGAAAGGAGAGTGCCTCGACTACATATTTTCAAAATGTGTTCTTTGGTATTTTGCATACTTGTTTAGCGTTGATGTTCGCTTGCCGCAAGGTAAAAACCTACCTTTAACAAAACTAAATATATGGCACAGAGTCAAAAATTATTTTTCCTTAACCTGCACATTTTAATGATATTAATATTGTATGTCATACTAATTTCTTGTGGAAACCTCCACTACCAAATTAGGTTGTAGGCACACAGTCAAGCGAAGACAGCACCAGAAAAGACGATGCAAGGCATGCTTAATCCACGGTCAAAAACTCAGTCAGGTATAAGATGAAGGATGATGAGGTTATTGTTACAGGTATGCCTATGACTTGAGGGTGGTACCATATGCAAGACAGTGAAAGGAGCAAGTACTTATATTTGTTCAGGACAGGGATAACAAAAGTACCTCAGAAAATTAATTTAAGAATTCAATTCTGACAGGGAAAAGTTCTACAGTTTCACGTGAATTATGTCAGATGCTTTGTTTGAACTTACATGGGATAGAATGATAGATAGAAAAGACTACTAATTATACAATAGAAGAAATATTTTTGTTGCAACATGATTAATAAATCAAAAATATTAATTAATTAGTGAGGATTTTAATGACATTTTATACTGGGAAGCTTCTCTAAAAATTTGTGAACACATTCAAATTTCGGTTAAAACCAGACAACAATATCTGGCACTTCACATGCAGAATTAGGCCATTTGTTTCTAAACACTGACCTAACTGGGTTGGGAATCTCCAGGCTTTCTTGGTGACCATGGTTACTATGGTTCTTCTGTTAAACATCAAGAAACTTAACTTCACAGGTGCACAAACAGCCAGTTAATGTTATGGTTTCACATATTGAAAGTTATATAATTTAAATACTAAAATTACAGTGAGAATGAAGTTGGCATCATTGCTAATTTCTATTTCTTCATCAACACATATGGCTTGGTAATCAAAAATTGGAACTTCCTTAAAAACAGCACTGCTAGTCCTCAGAGAATCCATTATAGCCCCTTCCACCTCCCCAAAAAATCGGCCTGTAAGGTTCTTATCCTCTGCCAGAACCACGTAACCACTGTCGTCAATAACAAAGCAGTCCAGCTCCTCTGATGCACAATCCCTGCAGGACGGACACTGCAGACAACAGAAGAAATTCAATAACTAAATTTGATTCTGTCTTTATTCTGGTGCCTACCTCTGTCTTCAAGAGACCTGAATCAACACATCCACATTTATAGTTAAAACCACAAACCAGAATGGAATCCTATGTTCTTATTGGCCAATAAGAAAGCTCATATAAACTATAGGATTTGAGACTTTCACGGCGAGTACAATCAATAAAATCTTCTCGGCCAATCAGCCGCGTTACCGTAGTAAACCGACGTTTCGGGAACAAACTCAGGCGACTTCCGAGGATCCAGTCACATCAGAACCCTGAAGATGGGGACAGAGTTTGTTCCCGAAACGTCGGTTTACTACTGTAACCAGTTAACGCGATTGATTGCCCGATAAGATTTTATTGATATATAAACTAGATTAAAAATTACGTTACAATCTTCTTTCCTATTAGCCACACATCCTCCAAACAAGACGGATGAATTCCCCATTGCCTCATGGTCCAAAACTATAAATGATGCTGCAAGGCTAATGTTTAGAAACTTAGCTTTGCAGAAACAGACAACTCACTGCAGGAAATTCTTTGAAAAGTCGACTGTATACTTGGCTTGTCAAAGAACAGAAATGAGCTTACACACTGCTATAAATCTGAAGACCTCTGTAAGTGATTCAGGAATACAATCCACGTAACTCAGTTCACTCCACAACTTTAGTAGCTAATTAAATTACTAACTCCATTGTTCAGGTCTTCTTTAAGCATTTGAATGTTATTAAAGTAATAAAGAAAGAAGAGACTATCACATCAGCATCTGTTATGCTTTTCTTATGTCTTCCATAATTTCCTGAGAACTCACTGCAAATCAAAACAGGGAATGGGTACAGACAAGATTTATTTACCATTGTCTTAGAAGTAATACTCATGAAGCGTGAAAACAATGCTGAATGCTGGAACTGTAAGCCTACTACAGATGCAGCTGCCTCCATTCCACCATCGCGAGGAAAGATGGCATGACTCGCCATTACAACAGCATTGTCTCTCAGACCTGCCAACACAACCCCACACTTTCAACAAACCATAAAAAGTAGGTGGAAAGGAAATACAACTTTGTAGAATACATAATGAGATTGACTGTTCACTAATATAGCTTTAATTAAACATTTCATTCCACAGATGTGTCATATAAAAAGTTATATTTTCATGATATAAAGTGACTGGTTACCAGCGTCAAACGGCACTGAAAATACGTAAGAGTCTGGATTATTCCCATGCTGCAGAACTGCACTCCTGTAATAAGGCTCTTCAATGGACTTCTTATGAAGGTCACCGAAGTCTCTACAAAAGAAGACAATATCATAATTATAGCAGGGATTTGCCCATTTGCTCCACTCACCAATCATGTCTCATCCTATTAGTGCATTGGGATATCTGTAAATACATTCTTTCCTATTCTGCATACCCCACTTGCCTTGATGTTCACTACTGCAGATACAAATCTTTTTCTGCAAAGATATTCCCACCATAATGATATTAAACAGCATAAAGTCGGAAATTGCTTCTTTCTTGTATTCTGTTAAATATTTACCATCCTGACAAAAACAATTCTCTAATAAGAACTGAGAAAGATCATCTAGCAGTTAATGGGGCCCTGAACTGCAATTTGTCCACTTAATAGCCCTACTATTACTTGAAGTACTATTGACGCAAACACTGTTGAGTGAACTTACGAGTCACCTTCATCCAATTCAGTACGTTCCTGAAAGCGGAGCCATCTAGTAAGACCACTCTGAGTTGACACAAATTTCAAAGAAACGTTGTACAAGTTCACAAACTCCTGTCTGTAAGAGAAATATGTAGTGGCCAAATTATGAGAATATGTAATATAAAATATTTCAACAACATCATGGTTTTCATAATCTCCAGGTGAATACCAGAACAGTACCTTCAAATAGTGCGAGACAAAAATAACAGTAAAAGATACCGAAGTCGGTGCAACTTACTCAAAGTACGTCAATTCATCTTCCCTGAAAAATGGGTCTGTAACTTTCGCATCAAATGTGAATAACTGCACGAGCTCTCTGTCACCTTAAAAGAAAATAGCAAAAAATTAACACATCAACCAATTAAAAACTACCTTCAATACTGGGTTTAACCACGTTTCAAAAAATGTTCTATAATAAGAATTATAAATGAAGAAAACCATTGTACTTACAATAGTATTCATCTTCAGCTTTTAGTCTTCTATTGCAGTTAACAGCTAAAAAATAAAATACAGTAATTACAATTATGCAACCTTCTAACAACTAAGCACAAGTAAACAGGAGTTCTCTGATGTAAATTCCATGTATTTTGCAAATGTATTCAGTACAATTTTCTTTGTGTTACAAAAAAGATAGGAAATTACTTAACTAGATGAATCAAACAGCTTCTCAAGGACACTGCTCCACGGAGCTAATGAGTTAGTCATAAATACACGTTACTAGTTAACATACAGCCACATCTATTAGAAGATACTGCCAACAACACACCTTCAGTGCCATTGTCCATCATTAGCATGACCTCTTCGTCTTCATCTTCTGTATCTTCGTACTGCTCCGCCCACAACCAATCAGGACTTCGCATTTTCTCAAGAAAATGCCTCATCTCATCCTCAGGCAATTCAAATGCATGCGTCTGATGGTGGTACTTGCAATACGTCCTAAAATTAACAATCCATTTAATATAAAAATACTAGGGTAGATTAAACAGTGCAGTTAATAGCTACAGTCTTACAAAAAATCAACCAGGGTTTGATTTGTGGAATGAGTTTTCTTCTTTATTGCTTCATCCAAACTGTATCTAGATCGCGCCCAGCCACCCGTATAATCGGTACCCGCAGCGCTGTCACCAGAGAAAAAGCAGCAGAGATTGAGGCAGTAGTAATGCCCTGATGACGAAGACAGTAGGCATTTCTGAAACTTCACAGTGCAATAACCCAGAAAACAGCTACCTTCAACTTTTATGGTTTCCATTGCAACAGACTCACCAGTCAGGATGAATCCTCCAACTACCTCCCTGTAGGTACTTGATGATAGGAATTTTCTTATGCCGGCTCTTCTGAACCTCATCTCCAGCTTTGATGTAGTACATTCCATACTTATCTGGGAGGGACAGTCCCAATGTGAATGGAGTTCCCTTCAGGGGTGCAAAGTAGAAGTTCTTCTGCTCTACAGCGACTCTCCGCTGAAAGATTGTAAATTATGAGTAAAAACAGCAGAGAAATAAATCAGGAAACAATATTACCCCTTGCATCTATGCAATAACAGACCAGCTGGCCACATGCTGCACTAAATAATTAAACCCAGCCATAAACAAATATTAAACTTCACTTACATTCATCTGGCAGTTTTGGAGGTTAAATGAATAAACCATGAAACTGATGAACAGACATGACCTCCATTTATGTATTAATTTTATACCCAAGTGATTAAAGTGTTTTTTTTTTTTCAATGCTATATGACTGAGATGAGTTTCAGCAGTTTCAAAATTACCTTTAAGTTCACTGACTACAAAATTCAGAAAAAGCATGATATGAAGACTGCATATATTTTTGTAAACTTTTATATAAATAATCACTCATATAAACATACAAAATGTTGGTATATGAAACTATACATGAAAATAAATACATGGAAAGGCGCTTACATAAATAAATTTCAGTAACAGAATTTGACCAGACTAGTTATGGCTATCTTCATTATTAGCAGTGTTTAGAATTCAATAACAAAATTCAGTTAGGAATAGTAGTTGGTTAGTCCAAACTTCATCGCATAATGTATAAATTTAGTATGAACTGTACTTACTATATTATCATAGTGAAACTTCATTCTCTTCTTTAGCATCTTGCCTTCCGAATAGTTCACCATTGCCTTCCTCAACTGCAACAAAATAAAATTAATCTAGTGAAGAAACACTCTTAATTTGTAGAGAAAAGAGTAGAAACTTCAGAAATAAATACTATTATAGACATTGCTGCAACTTATGAATGCTGATATTTATTGACCATTCTGGCTTCCGCCAACCAGAAAAAGCTGAAGATAAGAATCAACATTTTTCTTAGATGTTAACACGAACGCGGTCCCCGGCGATTCAATTAAACAGATGGAACAGGGTAGGACATACATGGATTTTATAATATAAGACAGCATATTTCTTATATGAATTCCCCATGTGTTTATTAACTTACATCACATGGCATGCAAATGTGGAATGGCATATCATCTGTCATATGGTTGCAGGATCACATGGTGTACAGCAAAAACACTGAAAGATTCTTTCAAAACCAAACTAAACAAAACAATTTTCACCTGATCTACCCACCCACCCACCTACCTACCCATTCGCTTCAGAGGCTATACCCCTTTTCTGATTTGGATGGCAATATGGGGATTTTAATAATGAAAAATTAGGGTATATGAATTATGTAACATAATACAGAATCAGATAAACAGTTTCTCTCAGTGTTAGCTAGGAACAGACCTCTTCAATCTCTGGATTCAACATTCGGGGGCCATTTGAATCATCCAGAAACTCAACCTCTGTAAGGTCAACACTGTTGTAATTCTCCTTGAGAACACCATCAAACTGAAAATGAAAAAACATTAAAATTAGATGAGATTTCAGGTACTCTAAGCCTGTAAAACTTCGGTTAAAACAACCTTCCCTTGCATACAAATTAACAGCACAGTTACTACTGCTACAAATATTTTTCTTATAAATGATTATACAGTGAAACCTCGATGCGTCCTTTTTGACGGGGGAGAGAAATAAAAACGATGAATAATGGAAAATTGTGCACATAAAAAATTAACTTTTACATCATTGTAGCATGTGCATAGACAAAACTGTCCATCTTCGCGCTCGCATTCGTCTTCTTCTCCTTCCTCACTGCTTCCGCTCCTTTCGCGATCGTCTCATAGCTGGTCAATAGTGTCGACTCCACATGTGGTAAGCTCGCTGCGCGTCTTTCGATACTGGTCTATCTCTAAAGCAACCATTTTAAATTCTAAAAACATTGCGTAAATTTCGTTATAATTTCTCAGAAACGATCAGTGCGGGAAAATTGTAGACCAGGACTAAGATTTTTGAACGGTTGATGTGATAAAACGACAGTTCGAGGAACGCTAGAAGCGAGAAAATCTAACATTATTTTATATGGGACTTATACTAACATTTGAGGTTATGTTCTCACAATATCTGACACTTTGGTGTGAGAAAGTTATGGTGAAAAATTATAGACATGTACACAATTCTGTATGACTAAAGAACTGTATAACTGTAAGACTTGTTTTGATAATTTAATAAATATATTAGTCTTGTAAATTAAAAACAAGGCCTAAACTTTCAAATTTTCAGAGAAAACAAAATATTATCATCAATCTCCAAAATTAATATTTTACACTGACTATTCTCTTATTATATGTCTATATAATTCTAACTTACTGTATGTATTAAAAGTTTAAGTACACAGACATTCAAAGGTCTGACACCATTCTCAATATCTCATGTGCAACTGGGCATGAAATTTCATATGGCAAGAGATCACAAATTCACATACAAATTCTGTTATGTGTTAAAATTAAAAATATGTTAATATATAAACATTTGAAGTTATGTTTTCAAAAAGAACACACACTGGGCATTCTATTGCATATCCTTCTGTACCTGCTACTTTTTTATGAGACCAGCATACAAAGGTTACAAACCTGCTAAACCATTAGTCTATGAAGTTACTCATGCCACACCATCACAATAACAACACTGGACACAGAGGCTTACCACTGGTCTCAGGTCTGGATGAAGCAGAATGTAACCATTGTTAGTTACAATAAATGCATAACCATTAACACCACTCTGGAATAAAATCAGAGGAATATTCATATAATGCTACCATATCTGAAATATTACATTGAATTATTTTGAGTAGCAGGGTAGGAACAAGAAAAATTACTATTTCTACTTTTAATACCTGCTCCGTCTCCATCTTGAAAGCAAAGTTGAACAGTGGTTTGATAAACATATCTGTAGTTCCAGACTTCAAAGTAGTATAGAATTCTGCATTATGATTGATAGATGTGTGATAAATAGGAAAGTAAATTCAAACTCTGGTTCTTTTTCAGTGCAGCTTTCACTAACTGATTTTTCAGAACATCCTCTCCCAAATTATTTAAAACACTGATATGCTACTGGATATTACCGGCTATTAAATCCTACTTCACTTTTTAATGTTTTGAAACAAAAATATGATAAAATATAGAGATTACCTTGTACTTATATGTGAGTTTCTCAATGTCCTTGATTGGAATATCTGTCGCAGCAACGCCCAACAGATCGGCTAATAGAGTCTGCAAGTGAACACGTACGATTTTAAAATATGAAGTTACACACAGTGTTTAAAGAGTGGAAACATTTCATAATGAATTTCTAGCAAATACACATCCTTAAATGGCCTCAATGTTTACCTACTGTACATACAAATTTATTTTGCCCACCCAATTATGAGTTAATTATAATTCCCTTTTTATATACAAAGAATGCATGAAATTTAAATAATATTTATTATTGTTGGTTGAGTAAAACATACTTCTCATTAAGAACATGGAAGTAAGTGCCTTTAAACTGAGCATTCACATGGGCAGCAAAAAGTCTAATAGGCCTGAATCACACAAAACAAACAAACCTGTGAAACTTTATATGAACATATATAGCCAAAGGGCTCAGCTGAGGATCTCATGTTACATACCTTTTTACTCCATTTTATTTTCGGTTTTAATTCAGTCCTATCACATTAGTTACACAACAGAGCAGAGTTAGAGGGATATAAACCACTTCTGCTATGACTCAAGATGTCTCCTTACCTCATTTGTTACATCGATGTTAAGCATCCTGTTAAATGCTGGAATGGCAACGGACACGATGATGCGGTATTCCTGCAGTTTCACATTTTTATTACCAACTACCTGCATGTAAATGAGGTACAGTAGTTAGAATATAACTAAAAATATATGAAGACAGATTAACAGTGAGTACATTGTCCTTGAAGCAATGATTTTAATTTTAAGTATCATAATCTCGTTGAACACTTCCATTGCAATTATGAAGATGGCTGTTTTCTTGGAAGTTGTGCCATGTAGACTGGCAGAAGTTTATCAACGTTTCAGAGGAGCCAACTGCCTCCATCAATATGGCTGATGATAGCAGCAGCAAATACCTCTAAAATGTCAGTAAACTTTGACCAGACTACACGGTGTAACATCTCGGAAAACAGCAATCTTCATTTCACTGCAGATCAATTTTGAATGTGAGAGAAACCTATCCTACTGGGTCCATTATATGAAGCTAATCTCTATACTACACAGTGCACTAAACTTAATTTAACGTTAGGATTCACTAGATGGCTGGCAGGATTTCAATCTCACCTTCACTACAAATGTTAAATCTCTGCCTTGCACAATCATCTTTCTGGCATAATCAGTTTTTCCAGATCGATCACGTTTAATGCAATAATAGACACATACCAAATGCGGTAAACTGAACTACCATTAGAGCTGCAATGACAAATGCTACTTTATTTTTATTCACAACCACCAACACAAAAGATATAGGAAATACCAGAATAATCCAAGCAAATGCAAAATTATCAGAACAAAACAAGGCTCAGTCTCGTGCATTTGCTAAAGACATAGTAGGGGGACACACTGGCGTGCAACTACTGCAATACCTGATTTGAGTCCTTAATGTAAATATAATCCTTTCTGCCATGACTCAAATACCGATCTTTAGAGCCAGCAAATTCAGATTGTTTCTTACGTCTTCCAGTATCCATCACATCCCACAGCCACGCAGCTAAGGTGGGGTCCTTTAAACAACATGTAAAAATCATAATCTAGTCTTTGGCATATCATGAGCACTGTCAACATTACACTAATCTACGTAACTTTTTTTTTCGTGGACTGGTAAAACAGCAATAAGTTTGCCAAGGACTGGTACTCTATATGTCTCACACTGTACTGCACAAATAATTACCTGTAAAATAATTATTATTAGCATACATAAACACGTGTGGCCACTGGGCCTAAGACATGGAAGGGTACTTGATTAAATGTCATAAATGGAAGACAAAAAGAAGTCCTGATGTTCGACATGGGCAATTACAGTACAGCTCTCAGCTACTTGAGTCACTATCTGAACGCTGTGTTAACTCACGGCTGTGTCTGCATATGCAGGTGTCCAAGTTACAGGGTGCATCGTTCCTTGCAGTACCAGTGGCCGTGCAATCACAGGAATATACTTGAACACCTGTTCTCGCACTTCATTCATAGAGTGGATATGTACATAGTAGCCTATAACAAAGCATACACAAGGTAAAAAACAAAGGTTAAGATGTCCTTAAATAAAGTGAGTGGTCAGTTTCATTCTCTGCGAAAACAGACTCCAGAGCCTGCTGGACATGAAACTGTGAGGGTCTGAGAATTGGTCTGAATAAGGTGGTAAAGAGAAACATTTTTACTCCTACCAGTAACTAAACTTCAGGTGTCCAGTCTACAGACAGTCACTTCACTCATTTATCCATCACAGCTACAATTCTAATGTCAAGCTAAATTATAGTTCACATTATTTGAATCTGTTATTATAATAAACTATTCCATAAATGACAGACAAGAAGAGGAGATTAAACTGCCACCACTAAAACACTCGACACAGATACGAAAAGAAAAGTGACTTGACATTTTCACTGATTAATCATATTTAACAAGATTGTAGACATGTCAACAGCAGCCTAATAATGCTTTTTGTAAAAACCAAAAATGACTGTGCTATATAAACATAGTTGTAGCTGTGGGTGGTAGAAACAATACGTATAGCAATGACAAAACAGCACAGCAATGATTGAACCTTATCACTACTTTTACCTCTGTTGAGACAAGCCATCCACTGAATCTCCCGCACCTTCGTCACTTCCCGTCCTATTAAGAAGGTGAATACACGTACTGGAATGTGTGTGCTGTTCGCCTCCCTGTTCCAGGTGTTGAAAACCTCAGTGTGGTTCCCTGTGACTCCATCTGTCACCAACATGATTGCTTGATTACACTGTGAACCAGCACTGGAGTTGCTGCAGCCTCTCAGTTCTCGATACTGTAATATAACACAGATTAATGGACCCCAATCTCTAGAAAAAATATCTCAGACTATGAGTAGGTTGCTGTAACTGTAACACTCTATACCAGCCATTCTCAACCAGTGTGATGTGGCACAATTCAAAATCCCATTGCATTATTTCTGCCTCGTAAACACCTTACTTCCTCCTTATGTAATTATCAGTCTCTATTCTAATTATAATATATTATGTGTACCATTTAATCAATTTGGCACAATGGAAAAATTTATTTACAGCCAAGGAATGGGAAATTCCATGTTTTCTCTCCTCTAATAAACTCCTCACTACACCCTTTAAATGTACCAAATCATGAGACTAGAGCAACGGACTGGTTAACACTCTGACTTCATATTCTGGAGGTCCCAGGTTCAAATCTCAGCCCAGAAACAGGTTATTCTGACTGGTGAGGGGTGTTTATCATTTTTCCTCTGTCCCTTTCCCAGGTTCAAATCTCAGCCCAGAAACGGGTTATTCTGACTGGTGAGGGGTGTGTATCATTTTTCCTCTGTCCCTCCAAGAAAATGCCAGGATAATTCCTTAAATTAGGCCATGACTACTTCCTTCCACAACCTTGCATCAAATGTTTGAGAGTCGCATATGAATTGATTGCATTCTCCTGCATTAAATGTAGCAATGAATTAAAAATTCATTACATTTTTAACAAAGTTTTCTAATGGCCTCCCATAAATGGACACAAGAGACTATAAGGTTCTCGTGGCATATGATTGCTCCGTTATTAAACACTTTGTCTGTCTTACCTTTTCTAGCACTTTAAAAGCTTTAGTAAATGCATTTGTCAGATTGGCATAACCTTCAGGCATAACATCCTCAAGGGCAGCTTTCAATGTGCTCACATTTTCCAAGGTAGCCTGGAAAGTAAACATCAACCACAATATGAAACCAAAAAACAAGAACATTTGAAAAGGCTGGGATTTCAAGGCTGAAATAAATAATTCAACAAAGGACCCAACTCTTTAGTAATTTAATGATAATGTTTCAGAATAAAAACTCAAGACTACTACAAAATATGGTGGCACCTCATATGTAGTTACATCGCCAAAGCTGTTGGTGATTGCACTTTAGAGATGTTGCCTCACCTGAACCAGCCTGTCCTTGAAGCACGAAACAACCTCTTCAGCCCTGCCTGAATAGTTGTACACAGCAACGAAGTCATTGTTGTTTAGCGTATCCAGAATGTTGCTGACCGTAAGCTTGGCAATTGTGTTCCGATATCCAGTCATGGATCCAGAGTTGTCGATCAGGATTACAACATCTTTAGAGCATGTTGCCGCTTCAGTGTACCAGAATTTGTTCCGGCAATCAAACAAGTCTGCTTCTTGTTTCCACTTCATGGCTATATCAACATAAACAGTAATCAGTGAGTATCAGTATAACAACACAAATACTTTGATTTCATCTTACTTATTTTAAACAATTCACTGTATGTAAAGAAAAATATCACTCAGTTGTGCGTCAACCAATATTCATCGAGCTGTCAGAATATGGGCAACAGTGCAATACGGTGTCCATTGTAAATCACTTTTTTTTGTTTTGTTTCTAAAACTCAATTTATACACCTCCTAATTCTTGTCTTGACACTTTATGAACATTAATGCCAAAATTTGCCTCAGAATCCAGTTTATAACTTCTTAATATTTCTATTACTGACTTCCATGCATGACGTGTTTGCTCGCGTGTCTTCATCTACTTTGTCAACACTATTTAAATCAACTGGAAACATGAAATATGAATCTGCATCTCTTATTTGCTATATTTAATTCCAGACAAAGTTACTCTTTGCTCATCAGAATTTCTCACCTGGATAACTGCGCATGAGACCTATTGAACTGCCGAAGTACTGAAATGATAACCCAGGATCACTAAAATAGTTCTGTACGAAAACATCATCCAAGGATTCTGACCATTTAATAGCGTCCAAAACTGGACCATCTGTAACAGACGCAATGTGTGATAAATTAAGACAAACAAGTTGGACTGGAATGAACTGGGTCGAGACAGGGTCTTTGTGTCCATCAACCAAAATTATTTGTAATATTAATTAAATTTAAATAATGTGGCCACAATATACACTTGGCCATCTCATTATAAGTGTTGTCATACCTCGGTCAAATACGTTGGTAGGTACATGCACAGAACTATAGTTCAGGTTTACAGGGATGCTGTAGAAATTCTTATTTGGATCCAACTCCATAGGCTTGTACGCATCATCGTCCTTGCCGTCCGTCACGTCTCCGACAACATACGAGTTCTTGGCACTATAAAATGTGTAGTTGTGCAGCGCATCAGTCCCATTAAAGAATTCTGCTGCATCTTCAGCTGCATTCACAATGCACTAAAATGCAAGACAAAGTTGTTGAGTTCTAGCTCCATATTCATTAAAAAGTCATTTTAGAGCTACACATACAACGCCAAACATCTTATACAAAATTTCTTTCATGTTTAATAAGATCACTGAAAGAAACATCTCCTGCCATCTCACCATTTTTGGCTCATCAACAACAGAAATTTGTTATACAGTAACACATACAGGTCCTTTAAATAAATAATAAGCATAAAAAATCCATTATCAGAGTTTTAGTCATCCTTGCAGCGTCTCCATTTTGGAAATGTCATACTTTGGTCAAATTTGAAAACCAATTAAGAATACTAATTCTATGTACAATAGGCCTAGAGTATAACCCAAAACACTTCCCTGCAAATCATTACCATCATACAAATAACAATAACAATATTTTACACGATGTAACTTCTGCAATTGAAGAAACATTTTTAAATACATATTTATATACTTTAAATTATCCTTTATATGTCATAGTACATTCATTCCAAGTCTTATAAAAAAAAATCACGTTTACATGGACAACACAAGAGCATGTACTTGAATATGTGGGGTAGACTTTGAACTCACTCTGACAGCATCCCTTTTGCGATCCAACATCCTCTGAACATTGTGCACAATTTCCATTAGCAGGGCTTCCCCGTCCTTCTCTCGTACTTGAACATTTAGCTTTTTGTAGCGCTGAAATTATAAAATAGCATTTGTTGATATCAGCTGATAGGGATACAAGTTAGTCATTCCTAAACTATAACAACCCCTCAAAACACGATCAGCTTAACGGTGATATTATCTTAAAGTCACACTTGAAGCTGTTATTTAAACTGTTCTTTCTTTTAACTCTTTTCATACAGTGTGTTGTGTTATACAAGTTAAATCTTCCCACAGATTCTATACATTTTTCCAGTATAAGATCATAAAAGATTAGTCCTGATGGGTAGATATTTGTTTATTCTTTATTTGTGTAAAATTATTCAATAATAAAGACAATATATTCTACAACCATGTTATAATCATGTATTAAACACATTACTTGTAACCTAAACATACTACTATAAAACAGAAATCAGAAAACAGAAAATTATTATGAACTGTATATATAGCAACAGAAATTCAGGTTCATAACAAAAATTATATTTATGTACACAGTTCATCAATAATATGTAATTTACCCAATGGATTAGTGTACTTAGCTCCTACACAGATGGTAACACAAGTTAAAATTTATTTCTTGCAATTGCAAATATGTCTTAGAATGCAAAACACAATAGTAGAAGTGTAACCAGAAGGTTACTGTGTTCACAAGAACCCAGTTCTTAGTTCCTCTTCTGAGCCATATGAATTCAATCAACACCACACAGCCCATTTAAGACCCACTTTAATATTATCATCCCAACTGCACCTGAGAAGCCTTCAAATTAGTCGTGACAGAGACGCATGCAAGAATTATTTCTTAGGATCAGATTACTCACTGCTTTCATTTCCGTTGCTTTGGTAACACTCTGCCCCAGCTGCCACAGCTCATCACCAAGTTGATCAGCCCAGTACTTGATGCTGTAAAAAAATATCTGTATAAAAATGTACACAAACATACAAAAAGCACTAATAGCTCATCAATTTAAGTAACTGTCTATGCGCTCAATCTATAGCAGGTATAGGAATTTTTGTTTTTGCCACCACATCTTAACAGTCTCTGGCATCCACCTAATCTCTTAAAACAATAAAAATGGAAAGCTTTGTGTTAGGGGTAAGAGCAATCAGAACACAAGGATGACCGCTCACTTCCACCTACCACTGAAATAAATGTGTGGAGCTTCATTTCCACACCCCCCATACACCTTCATGGCAAGTGGTTCACAAGCATGCAGACATCTCTACAATACAGCAACCATTTGCATTACGAAACCGAAAATGTTTGTTTAGGGGCTGGTAATCGCAAATTAAACCTTAATTCATAACCAAGATGTGCTTCGGTACAAAAAAAAATGCTCAGTATTTCGTATGGAGTTGTAACTCATCATCATGATAAGAGATGGCGGAATATACATTTGTCAGTACATAGCATCATCTGGTAGGCAATGTTGAAACTTATAGGAGCAGATGTAACGCAGCAAAAACGTGTACTGCGGCTTGCAGTACACCTTATCCAAATGTTTCTCCTAACAATATCTGCTGAAGAATACAAATTAAGAAGCTTCTTATTTAGCATGATATCTCTGTCCTCCTAATATATCCTCTCTCCTGGGTCTAAATATTCTCCGCAGCTGCTGTTCTCAAACACCGTCACGCTCCACCTTATTTGAATAAAATGAAACATAAGTGATTATGTATTTAATGTTAAAAAGCACTACCCGAATTGAGCTCTTAACTTCTTCGTGAATGTGATTTTGATTTATTATCGAATTGGAAACATTTCGAACATCCACATTATAATTTTCAAAATATCAAGTTCTCACGGCGGTGAGTACGAAGATGGCTACTTCTGGGATGTTGGGCAGTGTAATCTCGTAGATACTGACTATCGTTTCAGAGGTCTTTGCTGCTGCCATCATCAGGGCGATGAATGCTCTGATTATGGCAGCAAGCACAGTTATCTTCATGTCATAATTAATTTCAATATTAGAAAAATGTCAAGCCAGAGAGGTTTTACACTTTTGCTTTCAACGTACCTGCTTTACACAACACACGCTTTTATAAACTCGAAATGAACGGTGGTAATGGTCACCTTAGAAGTTTACACGGACAATTTAGAAACTGGGCCATTGTCGCCGTTTGTTCACGTGTACTTCACGCTTTGGCGTAAGCGAAGAACACCTTTTGGACCCTTACATCTCTGTTTGTAGTGTTTTCATAACATCGTTTCAATAACATTACAACACAATGGTGCAACAATACTCTGAATGGCTCCGTTACATCAATGACCTTGAGTGTAATTGTTGCATTTCTTATTCCCTTAGTTGTCCTACTGACATCGCCCGTAATATGACGTAAAGAGCACGTTTGGAATGCTATTGTACTCCAAAGAACAAACGTTTCCAATCTTCTTGTCTCTTGTTAACAATCTTCATTCAAAATCTTGAAGTTCGCTTATTCACGATAGGCAATTCGAGGCGTTGAAGACACTGAAATTGTGCCCCGTGGTCTTTTGGATTATGACGCCGCATAGCCCTTTAAGTGGATACTAATGTTTCGGAGGAACCTGCCAGCTCAATCTTCACCTACCCTGAAGACAGGTTCCTCTGAAACATAAAAAAACCACCTAAAACCTAGGAGACATCAGTCCGGGCAGATTCATATAACAAAAGTTTGCTTATTGAAAAAAGTCCAGAACTAAAATCAGTGATCTCAACCTTGAAAAGCCACCTCAACATCCCGACATAAACAAATCCCTAGATCACGATGCTAAACAACCCTCACACAAACTTACTTGTCCCTCTCCTCAGAGCTGAAGAAGAAGCCATCTCTGCTCGCTACACCGACCTGCAACACGATCATAAACACAAACGCGAACTTGAAAAGCATTCGGATCATCAAATTAGCTTCCATGGCAGCTGAAAACGTAAGTTACAGCACAACGTCCGCCATGCTGCCAGCAATTGCAGCCACCGGCCAACAGAACTCTGCGATATTTTTAGAGCCACTGCCTGCCCAAGTGCAAAACGTCAGCAAAGGTAGGGGTGGGGGGGGGGGGGGGGGGATTATAACTCATTCTTCAGCTTGGCAGTAGATGGAGGTGAGTGGTCTGGTGAAAATACGTAAGCCCAACAACGTTCAATGAATGGCCGCCCTCTTCGGGACTTACAAATAGTGAAAACATCGTCTAGCACGTACGGGTTTTCTCCTGATGTAAATTTACTTTTCATTTATTTATATGTTGAAAAACGATTTTGAGTTTCCCCCCTTGCGCAGAACTACCACCGCTCAGGCTCACGAGCCGCCACTGAATTTGTGACCTCTGATTTGGATTACAAATACAAGGCGTGGGAGACGTGTAGCTCAATCAGTAAACACAGAGAGATGATACTCTCAAATAAGGGACGTAATAAATAAACTTTCGAGTTTTATAAAACACGAGACCGAACGTCGTGATCGAACGGTTCGTATTCGGGAAGTCCCGGTTTCAAATCTGGGCTCCGGAAACCGGTTATCCTACGAATGATTTATGGTTTTCCTCAGTCTCTCCAGGTAAGTCCCGGCATACTGCCCATTGTTTACAGTGGACCTGGACAGGGTAGGAAGTGGTCGTGGCCATTTTGAAAGCAGAAAAGAACTTCACGACTGAGTGACCAACACTTCTTTGCGTTCCTAAGATACCGAATTCGATTCTTGGCTAAGGCACCTGTCACTCTCAGCTTTTGTCAGCGTCTCTTCCTCAGGTATATATTTAAAACAGGCCACGACAAACATTTTTAAGACAAAATAAGTCAGTGACATTAGCACAGACCATGACCACATCTAACCCAGTTCAGTAAACCTCTCACTCGACGCCAGGGAGCCACTGACTTCGAGAAAGCGCAGTTAAACAAACTAAGAAAAACGTTTAAATACACTGAGCCAGCATTAGCTCATGGACCCTGCATCCACCGTCACCGTGTCCTAAATACACACTAGCCACGTTAAAGCTTTAGCTGAAGTACTTAATTCTAGCACGCAAAACAAGCAACATGCACGGCATGTTCGTGCAATATAATAATGTTATAGTTCTCAACGATAAAAGTGTAATAAATAAAGCAGTTGTGGAACGTGAATGTCATTACGTAAATCCTTAACCTCTTGAACAAGAGTGGCGGATAATATTTGTCTTCCTATAGAATCAGCTTGTTCGTGAGAAAAGAGAAAATCCTCATTCTTTCTTACGTAATACAATTTTTTTCTTACGACAGGTTGTAAAACCTTCTATAAACATGAGAAATGGGAGTTTCCTTTCATTTCGTAATAATTACAAAAAGAAATACGAGAGTGGAGGGGGATTATTGTTGAGACGAGACCAGTCGTCCTCTAGTGTTTTTTTTTATTATTTTTTTTATTTTTTGCGCGATTGCCAACGTGAAAATGTGAACTGTGGAGGGGTGCAGCTCTGCTGAAGCCTGCGACTCTATCTTGAGCTCAGTCTGGTGTTGGCAGTGCAGTGTAGTCGGTGAGGTGTTGGTGCAGTTGTTGTGAATTACACGAGTGTCTGGATTACATATTAATATTAACATTATGAAACCTACATTTCTACAGACGAGTGGAAAAGGTAAGACACAATATTTGTATTTAGTAATTAACAGTTGTATGTTGGTTCCATTGTCGTTCATTCAGATTATCCCCGCACTGAATGTTATTACGAAAAAAGAGTTGTGTATTCTTTGTATGTGTCTCTTCGATAATGGAACAGTTCATTATTGCATTGTCAAAAAGACGAGGGAAATAAATTTTGACCGGCATTATTTAACAGCAATATCCACACTAGTCTACCAATGTGCCCAAGTGAGATACCTCGTTCATAGCACGGAAAGAACCAAGTTAAAATCGTGTAAAGATTAATAATTAAAATTCAGTGACAAGTCTTTGGGGAAGTGAGTGTTTTGAAATAGTGAACTCAAAAAGTTCCCGTTTCATATTTTTTTCGGGGTCTGCTTTTCCTTACCGAGGATTTCCATGGTGTTCTTAGGGCGTGTGAAGGGAACTGCTGTAAAGAAGGCTACGGATAATCCATTTCACACCATTCTTTATCGTGTTTCACTTTTTATTCGCATTCCATTCAAAGCTGTAAGCATTTGTGGAGATGACATGCAGAAACAGATTACGATCTGTGATTACTTGCTTTTTTTTCCGAGGTACGAAGCCGGCGCGTTCAAATACCGCGCATGCCCATTACTGGGCCATTCGTCGCGGATCGTTTCTCTTCTTTTCAGCAGAACGCCTGCGCGAGAAAAGATTTGCTACTTTCTAAAGACGAATGTTGACACGATGTCGCTAGACGCTATATTAATGGACGTTTTTCTGGTACAGGACAAATGATTCATCATCGGGATTGTTGTTAATCCCGTCCTCTGACCAAGAAGGTTTTATCACAGACCGTAACCACTGGCGCGACTAGCCGCGTGCGGCTTGTCGAGTGTTGTCGCGCGCGGCTGTTATTTGTATTGCTTTTTATAGGTGCGAAACCCACTGACGCGGCTAGTCGCGCCAGTGTGTCCCACAGATAAGAAAATGTTTTCTTTGGGTTATTATACCAAGGAAGATAAGACAGGCAGGAAATGTAACATGTAAATACAAACGAGAGCTCAGTCGTTAAAGCCGAAGGAAACAGACCACTTACGAGACCTAGGTGTAGATGGGAGGATAATATTAAAATGGATTTTATATAAATAGAAGTATGAGGATGTGTATTGGATCCACCTGGTTCAAGACTGGGACCGGCGTGAAAGTGCGGCCCAACGCCACATCGAGATCCCCCCCCCCCCCGGGCCACTGTCGCATTCAGGTTCGTCTTCCGGGTCAGAATCCTTCGCGTTATGTAATGGACCAACTCGAAGACTACGTGAAGTGACACGGAGATTGGAAAGTTGTATCGAAAACGGGAAGCGACTTGGCCTAGAGAAACGTGAAATGCGTGTCTGGATACTGGTCTGAAAGTTGTCCACCTCGTTCGACGTCACTATCCCGACACGAGGAACCAATCCAACATCATGTAACACTCCGATAGCAGAACCTTGAAGATTCAGTATCACCAGCACCGGAGCTTCTCACTGGACGCGATTCTGAGGCATTTCCATCGATTTCCGAACTTAAAGGACCTCCGAAACGTCGGCCCTACAACCCAAAAGACAGCCATCTTTGTCCACTCACCTCAAATCTTAGTGAGTGGACGTTTTCCAAGAGGTTTCCCAACGAAAATTCTGTAAGATTCATTATCTCCATTCTAGCCACGTGCTCAGCCTATCGTGGCCGCCCTGATTTCCCTGTTTCCGCGTCTTCACGCGATCTGCGATAATCAGGAAGTCGATCTCACTCTCCATTCCGCCCGCGGAACGAGCTTCACGCGCACTCCGCTCGCTGCAGCAGCAGCCACGACGTCTCTGTCCAGAGATACCGAAGCGAATATCGTCCAAGCAATCGGTCGGGCTGAAGTTCCCCGTGGATTTCCTCTGTCTCTCCTACAACATTCTAGTCATCCCGATCCATCAGCCACGATCATGTAACTCGTGAGACTGACAGAAACCTTGTTAAACAAACTTCATAATCGATCATCAGATAAGATCTAAAAAACATAGTTAAATACGGTAGGCTTCAAATTCCGGTAAAAGCGATTTCACTTCAACAAAATTCCCAGGATGACTTTGGGGCCCACAGGACACCCCCGCCCCCAAAGGGAGCCAATGTGTCCCGTTCAATGGGAGCGAAGCTGAATTTTCACGACCATTCTGTGCCAAAGTTTAGAATCCACGACCCCCATACGCCTGCAAAGAACTGGAAGAAACTGGAACACTGCTCAAGTAGGTTTTGCTCTAACCGATCATGCCACTCGGTTAAACAGAGAGTGGAGCTTCGATACTTGTCTGAGGGTTTCGATTTGGCGCCATTGTCAGGAAGTTTTGTGTAACAGTTGGGAAATAATATGACGATGGTGAAAATTCCCTGAGGATATACTTGATTTGTACTTCTCGCCAGATATTATTAGGAGTCTTCTGCGTGAGGTGTCATTGTCTTTGAAGCATCCGTGCCTTACGTTACCACTGACAGATAAAAAATGAGTAATCCCTTCATAATAATGACGTAGTCTAGCCTTTTCTTTTGAATGATTTTAGATGACTTTTCGTATTTACGTTTGGTTACGTCGTTGACCGAAAGAAATTGAGGAAGGCCCCAGTGCTTAGTTGTATATTGTTTATCGATCTTTATCAATGAAGTGGATGCTGATTAACGAGACAGCTGTGCAGCTTTTACACTGAAAAACTAATTATGATCGCGGTTAGAACGCTGGCCTTGTAATCCTGGGGTCTCGGGTTGGAATTTATAACTTGTGTTGGGCAAGGCCGTGGTCTAGGCAACACGGAGTTTTCCTCCGTGGCATCCCAACAATTACTCCATTCACACACAGAAGAAGGCAATAGCAAACCACTTCTGGATCATCTGCCAAGAACGTATATGAACAGGTCCCAGTCCCAGAAGAGGATGGAAGGATCCTGTTCATATGGACCTGTCCTCAGACAGAACACTAAATAAAAAAAATCGTAATAATAGGGAGTTTATTCAAGAGATTAAACTGAAATCGGACTGACCAGCGAATAACGAAGTTCGTTGCTTAATTGGCTGGCTCGTGGAATTGTCTGACGTTTGCTTACGTAACTTCATGTTCCCAAGTGGCGCCAACATACAAACCCTCAATTTCTGTCCTGCTTAAGCTATCATTAAACATCATTCCTTCCCACGCAAACATAATGAGAACGGCGTGGTATACTGGTATACTCAGTGGCGTTGCATAACATCCGACATGAATAAGGACCCAAAGCGTGCAACAATATTAAGTGGAGAAACAAGAGAGAGAAACTGAAGGTGTTTATGTACAAGGAAGTTCATTTTCAGACGAATTTTGAAACAGTGACTTTGTCATCAAAGATAAAAATGTTTTTTTGATACCAATGGTTTAGAGAAACTGCGTCTTGTTAATAGAGAATAAATGTAGATCTCGTATTTTCCAAACGCCTTTCGTTCGTCACTGTTCTTATTGGTGTTATTGCCTTGCGATCCATTTTAGAAACCACTAAGCTGTATAAATTCAACTGCTATTATGATACTGGTTTTTCTTTTATAACTTGCATAAAACGGGGAAAAAAAAAACTTTGCTAAATATGGTGAAAATATGTTCTGAGAGGATAACTGTTCCTCGTGTTCGAATATTGACCGTGGTAAATATTTTTCACGGACTGTACCACTGTCTCTAGTCAGACGCGTAATAAGTGCCTTTCTGCTGGCTGTCGTCCAAGTCGGTAGACATGACTTTGGCGACGTCTAAACATCTCTTATTGCATGCAGATATACGATGTATAAGCAAAGTGTAAAAGATGAAGTCACTACACACAAAGAATGCTTGATAAGAAGACAAAAGAATACGCACATGTCAGTGGTAGATTGCTCTATGCGCCAAAAATAATTTAAAAAATATATAATTTCCAATTAGGAAGATGGGATACTTGTTTTATAACTTTATCAGATATAAAATACTTCTAATTCTAGGTAAATATGACAGCTACACACACGATGATATTACGTCTTTATATGATGTACGGCAAAACACTCCGACATCGGACCTCAGAGGGTTAAGCCTGTTTCCTTATTTCATAAAGAAAAATGGGCTTCTTTGATATGGTCTGTCCAGCCGTCGATCTGGTCAGACGGAATTACATGACATCGCATCACTTCCTTACGATAGTTTCGCTAATATCTGGATGAAAGCTGGCGTCCTAAGTTTTCGCAGAACTTCTTAAGAACCCGCGGTTTCCGGTTTGTGTGATCACGATAGAAATTCACATTTGCCGGGGCCGAGCTGTAGTGGCATCCGAAAATGATTTCATGGTGTCTGAAAACTATGGCGGCCATGTATTTTTCTACAGCGAGAAAATTCTCATTCTTGTCGCGAGATGGCAGGATCTCCGCCAGTGAACACTAGCTCCATCTATGGAACACGGGGAATTACATGACTAACCGTTGTTAACGAAGTGCCCCGTAGTAAACACGAATCCCGCTGCCAAGTAATGCAATGACAGGATTGTTTGTTCGTTAGTTGGTTAGTTACATTAATCGAAAATTACAAGCCAGAAGACCGACATCGACAAAAGCTGTGTTTACAAGAATAGAAATATTTTATGCATGGTTTTGTAATGATAGACTGGTTGGTGATCGAGGAAACCTTGAATGAAATTCCGGCATTAATTTCGTTCATAGTTTCTCCAGGATTTAAATTGGCCCATATTATACGGTACGTAATTCAACTGCCCTCCCAGAGATGCCGTTTGGGTAAGGCTTTTTTTGTTTTTCGCACATATAAAATCAACGAATCAGATGTCAAACACCACGGAGTAAAGTCCTTCAGAAGCAATCAGAGCGCACACAACTGGAGTACACGTCTGAATTGAGTACATGTAAAGTTTCTTCGCTCCCCGGCATAATACGAGAGGGTCACGTGGCACACACCACTTCGGATCAATAACCACAGGTAGGGTGGCGTGATCTGCGAGCAGACGCAGTTTTGAGTGGCTACTGCCGTCAGTCTTCTGGCGACCGCTGAGTTAAGCGGGTACGTCTTGCGTTTCCTTCCATCACAGAAGAGGACCACGGCGGAAGGTAGCGTTCAGTGAAGACGATGGTGCAAATAGCGACATCTCAGCGCAGATCACGTAAACGTGCGGAATTTTTTTTTCCCCTCAAAATTAACTTGAAAGGACGAAGGCGAGAACAGCTCACTCCTGTATTTACAAAAATTTAAGGACACGCGTAATCTTAATCATTTAAAGCCCAGTGGTAATTATATGTACCACCTGTTCAATAATCAGTAATTATGCATTTTTCACGTATGTGTTTTGTTATGATTCTCACTGTGAACAACTATTATTTTGAGGATTGCTATATTCTGGGTTGTAGCGACGTGTAGAAGTTCATCGCCTTTTCAGAGGTCCTTGCTGCCTCCATCTACAGGTAAACTTCTACCAGACTACACGGCGCTACAACCCAGAAGACATCCATCTTCGGACTCGCAGTCGTGAAAACCTCAAATCCAACCATTATTTTCTCAAATACCATTAACAAGTTGATCTCTGCAAAGGAGAAATGTTGTTTTCTTTGCGGTACGGACTGGATCTTAAATATTTAGATATGCTTTGGATTCGAACGGTCAGAACGCAACAAATCAAAACTGATAACCAAGTTCATTGGTGATAAGTGACGGTGATATAGTTTCTCGGAAAAATATGTGTTCCGTGCTTTATTCATCATAAATTTTGATGTATGTTTTTATAGGCAATCATTTATACGTCCGGGTTGTGTAGCACGTAGTCTTGTAGGTGGTTGCCATAGTTTCGGAGTAACATATCGCATCTATCTTCAAGATATCAAGAATCCACGTATTCACCGGTCTGAAGTCTTACATAATCGCACACTACGTACGAAAGATCTCGTTGAAACATTCGACTTTATGTATGAATTTATTTGGTGGTTCAGAAAACCTGCCTTATTAAACGTCGCCCTCTCATCTGTTTACGTTAGCTCCTACACAGCGACGTATGGGACGGATAACAAATGACGGAGGATGTTGGTGAAAGCGTTAGTCGAGAGAGGACACGTGTGTATTTTATTAATTTCGTAAGAAAAATAAAGTCTCAGAAGAATCACTTTAAACTGTTCAACGCTTTTATTAAATCTCACAACTAACTAACATAAGGAGGCGAGACAGGCAAAGAGAAATCCATATTTTCATTCAGGTCAGTCGATAATGCGAGTGACTACGGGCTGGATGACCGGGTTTCGATTCGCGACAACGCAGGGATGTTTCTCCCGGATATCAGGTCTAGACATTCTCTCGGTTACTCATCCCGAGACATTCTCTCGGTTACTCATCCCGGAGGTGAAGTGGTCGGAGCGTCAAGCTGTTTACTCGTCAAGATTAACAATTTCTACAGTCTCTGTCTATGTCTTCCACGGGCTTACACGGTTGGAACTTAGCGACAAGAATTCATCTCAGCCTTTTCGCTCGTCCTGCTACTAACATGGCGGTTTCTTGAAAGTAAGTGACAGACGGACGCTTCCTGGCCAATTACATTCCACAATTGCCACCAGCCCGCAACGAAAACTTACTGAACACAATAGAATACGTCACGCGCGTGACAGATTCCAGACGAAAGCCGGTCCAGGTTTCGTTCACATGGTGACCCACATTGGCGGGACTCTTGTCTGTTCGATCACAGACGGGCATCTTGCAAAACTAACTCCATGAGAAACTACCAGTTGCTCGTCTAGTCAAGAAATCCTCATGCATTCATGAAACCCGAAAGTTAATAATTTCTAAGCTGAACCTGATGAATCCCTAATCCCCCTAACTTATTCTAGTTTTACCCCCACATCTAAGCCTAGGTCTTCAAAATCTTGTACGCATTTCTTGCTTCTCCCACGTGCATCACCTGCCTTAGAAAAGTTCAGTGTCAGAATTCGCCCCCCTTCCGCCACTTCATCACTCTTAAGCCCAAATATTCTCTTCAGCGCCCTCTTATTAAATCCCCCAAATTGCGCCATTCGCTCAGTATGAATCAACTGGCAACAGTAATCACATGCAAAATGAAAACGTAGGCAAAGTGATACTAAGATGGCTGTCTTCCGGGTTGTTGCGCTGTGTAGCCTGGTTTAAGGACGTTTCAGAGGGCGATGGAGGCAGCAAGGACCTCTAAAACGACACGGCGCTACAAGCCAGAAGAGAGCCATCTTCATTCTCGTCGCCGTGAGAACGTCAAATCTCACAAATCGTAATTTTCTCAGTTTATTTTAAAAGTCGACTTAAAAGAAGACGCTGGCGGCTGCACGATCCAAACCAAATTTGCACCATCGCTTTACAACTACGCGGTCATCGCAAGACTTCGGCGGGGTTTTTATTCCTTTTACCGCGTAAAATTTTGTTTTCGCCGTGTAATGCCTGCTCTCACGTGTAAAACTATTCCAGAGGAAAAGAATTCTGCAGCAGAAGCAGCGACCGCCTCGCGAACAGCTGACTGAAGACCGCGGAGGCTGACGGTACGTGAAATCAGTTTTTCTCCTCTGTTTTATTGCGGTAATCATAAGGAGACCCTACACTGGCATTTGCAGGTTTTAAGAAAAAAAAATTGTTTTTAACCAGTGATCTCCGATTTGTCTGGACATGCTGATTTAACGACGGTCTCCCAGTTGAATTGGTCAGGTAGCGTGAACGGAAATGTGTTAACTGTCTACGATGTGGAACAAAGTGGGCCGTTTCTTTAAAATTCCTTCTACTTTGTCCTGTGACGCTGTTAATGCAGACCAAACATTTTAGTTTGTAAATACCATTACAGTTTATGCAATTGTTTTTCTTAAACATTTTTGTTAATATCATAATCTCTTCTCCAAAATATGTGATTTTTTTTTCTCATTTCCATTTGATATTGCTTTATGATATCGTGTATTTTGCTCGTTTCTCTCGTACTTTCGACATGTTTAAAAAATCTTCTCTAAACTGAAAACATCGCACTGAGCTATCTGGTTTGTACGATTCATTTCCTTAGAATGAAGTTCTTTCGTAACAGACATTTTATGATAATTGGATAAGTAAATAAATTGATTAAATATATTTATTTTGTACAGTCTATACACAAACGTTTGAAGTTTATTGGTGTTGTAAAAAATTATATAATATTAAAACATTTTATTGTGTAAAATATTATATTAGCGCTCTTAATCGTAAATACGATTTTACATTATATTTTTTAGCGCTTTTATTAAAACGACATGTTTCGACGGGTAATACCGTCGGCTTCAGGTTTTTATCAATTTAAAATATTTTAAAAACTATTAGATATT